ATCTACGCATCGAGCTGCTGCCCAAGAGCGCCAACAAGGCGGGCTTTATGCGTTCAAAGGGTTAGTTTCAGTGTCCCATTTTTGATATTAAACATTTATTGTTGTATGTCCTGCTGTCCATAGCTACTGGTGAGCCCGCCATTTGCCTGGCCATATCCGTGGCCTTTGCCCTGCAGCAGGCGCTTCAATCTGCGCGAGATGATGCCGGCCTGCCCAAGACCTGGATTACACTAAATGCGCCCATGACGCCAGAGCTGCTGGTGCTATACGCGGGCACCGAGCCAGGCCAGCTCAGGCTGAGCTAAGGTCATGCCTCAACGACTTCGGCCCAACTCCACACTCCATTCCGTTTCCCCCCCTCCCCATTACGGAAGACCAATTCAAAGACACCGCGTGAGAAGCGGCACGTGGCGATGTGAACGCGCGCGATAAGCACCAGCTATATACATACAAATATATATATATATATACATTGCACACCTTGTTTTATGCACAATAAATTAGAAACTTATCCAACGCAAATCCAAATGACATTCATTGTGAAAGCCCCGGGCCTGGCCTGGCCTGGGCCAACAGCTTGGCCGGCCATCGTCCAAAGTGGCCAAGTGGCATTTTCTATTTTCCTCTGTTCTACTTATTTTTTTTTTTTTAATGCCTAACACCTTAACACCCCCCTTTCCCGAAGCACAACGAGCTCTTCATTAATTTTAAAATACAATTTTTATAAGGAAATTTTATGCCACACGAAGCGTTAAGTGAATCCTGTCTAACAACAGGGGCTTCTACATCAGGGGTTGCATGTCGCGAATGACACTGGGTTGGGGGTCACGCTTCGTTTCGTTAGCCAGTTCAAATAGGTTTTTCTTCTTCTTTTTTATGTAGCTTCGATATCAGCAACTAGGCTGTTAATGAGCAGAACATTAATTATAATAATGATTGAGCTGGAGCGAGATGTATTTCAAATACTATTAAGTGCACTTTAATTATAGCTGGGTTGAATGCATATACATAGTCGATATCCACAGAAAATAAACTTTTCTTCAGATACTAAATGTGCTTGTTTTATTCCTAGGACTCATCCATATATAACTCCATAGATGACAACATTTAGTACATAAGTCTTTAGTTATACGAAGCCACTTTTTGTTGAAATGAATGCAACTTCTCAAGAATTTTAATTCGTGCCGATATTTTTATATTTTTTATGAATATTTTTACTGAAGTCATCTAATGGGATGAGAGAAATGTTGATAGGAAATTCGGAAAATCCATTCGAAATCGGGAAGAATTCTAAAAGAAATTGGTTATATACAACATTTTGTTTTTACTTCTAACCCTTTTTCTCTTTCTTTGATTTTCTTTCAATGCATTTGGGAGGTGTTTCACACTTTGTGGAAAATCCACCTTGGTGATATCTTTATCTTTATGAACATTTATTTAATACATGTTTTTCACTTTTCGCAAAATCCACATGAGCAAACGAGGCTTCGGGCTAAAACAAACTTTTAAATGAATCTTTTAATTTGCCGAGTGTTTGTCAGTTACAAAGTTCGCACAAAATTAAACCAACAACTTTTTAGGAGTTCCCTAGTCGAGCGGAATTTTCCGACCGTTCAGCCTGTAACCAAATAGACTTAAAGCCACTTTTCAACACTGTTGACCCTAGCCAGCTGTACGCCACGCCCACTGAAGGGATAAGGCGCCGAAAAAATAAAACACAGCTACGAGAAATGGAAAAACAAAATCAGCGCATAGAAAACAAACAGGCATAGGGCCCTATAGGGGACACGGGAACAAGGGCAGAGGTCCAGATATACGGGCCAGTCGCCGATAATCATAGGACGCATTTGCATAGGGACTTGGTGCCGGGGCTGCTGTTCGCATGCAAATGAAAACATTAGCGGGACACGCGCATCCGCAACTGCGAGTGGCTGCAGATACAGATACAAATACAGTTGCAGATAGAGGGACACAGTTGCAGATACAGATACAGAAATGCACGGCTGACATTCTGTCTGGCAGACAGGCTTAAATATATATTTCAATTAAAATTTTACACACGAATAAATGCAAAGCCACGCCCAGCACATTAGACCTGGCTCCCTACTCAGCCGCACCCCACCCCCATTCGCTGCTCTCCCCTGTCTGGCATTGTGCAACTTGTGTCGCGTTTGTTTATGAGCGTCTGAAGGCCAACATCAGCAGACGCCAGACAGAAGGCAGCGACAATGCCATAAAATGGCGCTGCACATGAGTCCAATTCCGTGTCCATGTCCGTGTCCACGGATCAGTCCTGGCTGCCATTGGCTCGGCACATGGAGGCACCAATGGCAGCTGCTGAGTGAGGGTTGAGTTCCCCGACAAGTATTCTACATGCAAGCGGATTCTGCACCCAAAATTTGGCAACGTGACAAAATTGGTGCTATGTAATAATAAACGTCTTATCTATCACTTTAAACTTCCCTCAGAACAAATGAGTAAGAGAGAATGTTTGAAAAACAGTATAAAAAAAACAGCGCAGCCAGTGAAACGTTTACGAAAACACGTTAAAGTAAATCCGTGCAGCCAGTGAAACGTTTACGAATGTGACACGGAGATGGAACGAAAAGTAAGTTGCGCCTATACGCGCTTTGTCCAGAAATTGAGAGCATCAGCAATGTTTAGGATTAAAATAATATAATAATACTACAAATTATGGTATAATATAATAACTATATTAATAATGCTAATAAAATACTAATAATAATAATAATTATAATAATAATAATTATTATAATAATAATTATAATAATAATAATAATAATAATAATAATAATAATAATAATAATAATAATAATAATAATAATAATAATAATAATAATAATAATAATAATAATAATAATAATAATAATAATAATAATAATGATAATAATAATAATAATAATAATAATAATAATAATAATAACAATAATAACAATAATAATAATAATAATAATAATAATAATAATATTAATAATAATAATAATAATATTAATAATAATAATAATAATAATAATAATAATAATAATAATAATAATAATAATAATTACATTAATAATAATACTAATAATAATAATAATAATACTAATAATATTAATAATAATAATAATAATAATAATAATAATAATAACTTTAATAATAATAAGCACAGCTCGCTTGAAATACGGTAATGTAGCGTTACCGGACTGTCGAATACGCTCACACCTTCTGAGATTGAAGCCTAGTTAGAGCGTTGCCAGACAGCTTTTATTTTACTTCATCTTAAACAAATTATCAACTGGTGAAGGGACTTTATAATGACTTTACCAGACCTTCGAATACGCTAATTTTTATGATCTACAGCCTGCACAGCTTCTGAAATGAAAGCCCTATTACAACATTGACTGCTTCAATTCTACTTCATTTTATAAAAATTATCAACTGGCGAAGGGAACATTATAATGGCGTTGCCAGACTGTCGAATATGCTCGCTTGCCTCAGCAGCAGAGCTACAATTTGAGCAGAGCTACCAAAGGAAAAGGTTTCCATTTCAAGCACGTTCACAATGGACATCCTGAACTTGAACTTGGCAACTGTAATAATAATGTGCGCTTGAGAGCGGCCCCAAAACTTGCAACTGGGGTTCACTTTTGCATAACTGCAAGCGGGCAGCTTCCACTTTTCTTTTTCCCAACTATATTCTGTCCATTTCCTTTCCAACCAGCCCATCCTTTGGTGCCATTGTCTGTGCCATGCATTTCAAATTCTAAGCAAATTTGTCGTCTGGGGGCGCCGGGCGCAACATTTTATGAGCGTGTGCGCGATGCAGCGACTCAGATATGGCCAGAAACCGTCTGCTTCTGCACCAACTGCTCCACTTTCTGCAGCAAAAGGAGCTGCAGTGGGGATGGGTTGGGATGGCTGTGACTATGTCTGCCCGTGGCACACACACAAAGATGTCCTGGTGTGATTTATCGCCGGCGTTGCCAGGATAATGGCCACGTATTATAATAATGCCGCGCCATGGCGTATGCTTATCGCTGCCGAGGACGCAACGTCAACGTCTAGACGTCCTGCGGTGCAGCCTGGACAAGGATATTGCGAGGCTCTCGTAACTCTCAGAGCTCGCCGCTTTTTCGTAGCCAGCATTTGCATTCGTATTGCAGTTTATTAAATAGAAAAATCCAAAATTAAGTACATCATTTTAGTTGAGTTTCTTGTTGATGCCGTGTGCGAGTGAGCGAGTGTGCGAGTGTGTGTGCTTGTGCGAGTGTGTGTGCGTGCGCATGTGTCTGGCGCATATCCTGTGGGCAACATAATTTACAGGCCCTGCATGAAAGCCGTTGTTGAATTTTACGCCGCAACGAACGTCTTTGGCCAACAGACGGACTCGATTCGTGAGCCAAATACATAAAATGTACGCAAACCCAAACATACAATATGTATATGTACACATATATATGTGAGCGTCAATGTGTGTACCTATGCCATATCCTTTCGCCATATCCTTTTCCACTTAATGCCAACTGCAATACACACACAGGCAAATGCAATATATACATATAGGATCTCATAGTTTGTATGCACACAGTTCATAATACATGTCATTAAAATTTCGTTCTAGCCGTGCATGTCCTTGCCATTGCCTTTGTTATCCTTCGTTGGCGCTCGTTATGTGCCCGGTAAAAAGCAAGCAACTGCTCCCAAGTGTCTGGCCAAACAATGATAGTTTAAGTCCAGCAAAACAGCACCTGGGCCAAGTGTGCAGCTATTTGCAAGTTTATTTATTCAATTCAAGGATTTGCCTCACTTTGTGCTCACATTTTCGTGCATTCGCTTCGAACCAATTTCAGATCAAAACATTTTTTTTTAACAATTTATACTATATTCATTCCTTTAAGAAGTTCTATTGAAACGGAAAATTTCAAAAATTTACGCAAATTATAAATTAGTTTTAGTTTTTATATATTTGTATGAACATTATTAAAAAACATTCAATTGCATTGTTTGCATAGCGCATGCAATTTCTTATAATTCGCAACTTGTTAAGCCAATGCAATCTTTTCCAATTCCAGAGCCAACAGATCCGCATCGGTAATATTCAAATCTAACATAGACAAGGGCAACATTTCGCTATATTTCAACTGCTTGGGCTCAACAAATCGATTGCAAACTGAAATATCAGTTTTGACACTATACAAAGGCCTGGTTGTAGGCCCAAGGGCCATATGCTGCCAAGCATATAACCCGTTCGCTCTTGGCCACAAGGCTGCAGATATATTGTTACAAAAATAAAAGAAACAAAATTAATTTCAAACTTACCAAATGTGTTTAAGGTAGCAAATGAGCTAACAGCCTGGGCCAGCTGCTGATTTAAACTCAATCCGTTAACCATTCTAGCAGAAAGAGGAATTAAAGTTATTAAAGTTGCGAGAATGAAACTTAAAAGCTATGAAACCTGCTCAATTCAATTTCCGCCAGAAATAATGATGAACTTGTGCTTTAAGATTCGATTTCTACTGTCATTTTTCACTTATGTATTTGTATTTTTTGACAAAAATGTCAAGACTATAGAGACATTTAAAATGCCTCGGCACTATTTGCACAGAGGGAAAAAACAATTGTCCCTGCTGGAGATTTTAATTAAATTTAAGTCCAAATGGGACTTAATAACCAGTCGCTTCGGCCATTATTAAAAAATATATACGCAATATTCGATTTTTCAATAACAAATCCAGCTTGTGGCACGCTGCAACAAGGTCCTGCGCCACGGCCCAGACAAATGCCGTCACGGTGAGGCGACAGCCCCAGCAAGGACTCCGGCAGCGGCAAAGGCAACGGTAACTCAATCTGGAAATATGCAAAAAGGAATACCCAACCAGACGCACTGCCGCAGGACAATGATAGCAGGATTTGCGCAGAAAAAGAAAGTTTAAAAAAAAATAAAAACCATTGTCATTTGTTATACCCTACACTGGCATCGCAATGTGTATATTATACATATGCTTAACTTTAACGCTGTCATACAAAAATTCCCTCTTCTTCTGGTTTCCAATAACTATAAATAGACGACTTTTACCCGGATTACTTTATTTATGTATTTTAGAATACATTTTTGGAGCAACTTTATGTTATTTGTCTTTACATATTTCACACTTATTTATTCACCTCCATGGTCACTTTATTCACTTGCAAATTAGTTTACTTGGCAAATATTAACGCGGGTTTTGTGCCAAAACTTAACTCATTTATTTTATTTGTGAAATTTAAATTGTATAATCATAACCATTAACTTTTATTTGTTTAAAATTTTTAATTTTTGTCATTTTATTGATTTTTATAATTTTACACTTCTATAAACAACAGAGTTCATTAAGTTCTATCGAATATATTAAATTACTTTGGCTCTGCGGCCAATTTATTTGCTTAATTAAAAAATAGTTGTTGTTTATATATAAATACATGTATGATAGATGTTTGTTCAACTTCTTTTGCACATGCATCTCTATGAACCTTCTCTAAATAAAAAATCATATAGATTGAATATTTGTATATGCCTGCATTTTTTGTTTGTTAACAAGTATTTTTTTCTTTAAGTAAATATTTTACTTGTGCATACTTTGCACAACATGTCCCTAGAATAATCCACTTGCGTTTTTCTTGGGTATTTAAGTAATTTAAAAAAATAAAATTAACGCAGCAAGTTGGTGGACGCATCTTTTGGCTGGCCAATAATTAAATCAATTTAATGCCCGCGTTGCAGACGCCACACACTTTTCGACCAAGTGCCCTTCCCTTTTTCCCCTGATCCCGTTCCGCGGCACTCATCACACAATTCACAACGCCCGCAATCCACCAAAAATAAAAATGAAATCAATTATGTTGAAACTTTTTGAGCGCTCGCACCGCCGGCTATGTTGTAATTAATACAAAATGCTCTGGACGAGAGTCTGCGCCAACAGCTCCCGTTCGCGCCCTCGCCCTGCCGCGGCATGCACAGTGCCCCGAGCCCAGGGCATGCCAGAAGTTGAGTACTTGCCCCAAACTCAATTTGAGAAAAAATTTCATTTGCGATTGGCATCACCAATGCCGTACTCCGTGCACCGTGCCTCGTGCTCCCCGCTCTGGGCCCCATTGTCAGCCTCGTGTGAGTGGACAGTTGGTGCCTGTTGTGCAGGACCTTCTCCCCTCTGCTCTGCTCAGCTCTGCTCTGCTCTGCTCAGCTCTGCTCTGGCCTGTGCCAATTGTTGTGTTTATTAATTTAATTTGACAGTCGCAACCCACGTACGACTCGCTGCAGCCTCGAGGCATCATCCGCAGCAGCTGTGGACATTTGCGGTTCGAGCGCGGCTTTTCCATTAAACACTTTTCCCTCACTTTTTTTGGGGGGGAGTGGGGTTGCGGTGGTTAGCCTAAATGTGCTGATTTGATAAGAGATGATTCACAGTTTCAGTTAGCTAGCTAACTGTCCTGTGGGCAGGACACGGAAATTGAACGGAAAAAAACAAGAAGAATAGACTACGTGCTAGTAGATTTTTGGACTACTTTTGGATTACTATCTTCACTTTTCTATTTGTGGAAAAGGTTTACATTTTCAACAAGTTGAGATTACTAAAGGAAATATTTCCATTTATGGATACATTTGATAATTTTAACATGTCAAGAGCACTAAATGAAAATTCTATAAATTCGTACTTTTAGTTGCTCTTCTTTTAGCTTTCTTTATAGACAAGTCATGAACAGGGTCAAAAATTTAAAAATACAAGAAAGAACAGTAATCATCGTAAGTTAAGTTGGAAAACATTCAGACAGCAGGTTTGCGATATATTTTCATGAAAGGAGAAGCCTTTGATTATCTATCTGATTATCGCTAATTTAAGCCTTATCTTAAACTAAATTTAAAGATAGATAGCCCGCGCATATATTAAAAACAAAACGATATATGAAAAAAAAAATTTAAAAAAATTGTTTTAATTTTTTAGATTCGCCGAGTCAGGGATTTTAAAGAAGTTGCCCGTGCGGGATTGTCCTTTTATTTTTCAAATGCATGCTTCGTGCTCGAGGCTGTGCCCATCTTTAAGTCTTGTCAGCTTTTACATTTAAAAGTAATTTTCTTTCTGTATTCACAGAACGTATTTCTTTCTTTAAAGCATTTTTTAATATTTATTTCCATAGAAATTTTAAAAATATTCATTTATATATATATGCTCCAGTGCTGAGTGTTACAGGAAGACTAAAGTAATTAAACACTTTAGCCCTATATTATCCTGTCCATCACTGTTATTCGCTCAAGTCAAGGCTTAATGTATTTAAGGAAATCACGAACTATGATGATATTACTCCTTCGAATCTATAACATTAAATTCGATTGCTTCCTTCTTCTATCAATATTATAATTCTAACGTTCAATGGCGAAGCACGTGCCATTGGTTCCACTTCCACGCATTCGTTTGCTAATCAAATGCTAAGTGGATATTCATAATCACGCAATCCCAGGAGACGGCGGATCATTGATTTGCCTCGCAGAGTCATTTACAAGAAATGCTCAATAAATCAACAAAGACAGTGGAAGCAAATGTGAATACATGCCGTAACTTAAATACTCTAACTACAAATTTATATTGTGAGAAGAAAACATTCAATTTTCTTTAATTACATAGCATGATGTGTTAAATTTGAATACGTTGATCCAATAAACATTGCCTATCGATAACAATAATCGATAACCGTTGTCCAAATAAGCTTTGAATAGCATATGAAATAATATTTATTAATATCACCCATTTTATTATTTTAAGCAAATTAACAAGTAATCGATAACCATATAAGGGTATTAGCAGGATATTATCTAATCACATATTTTATTATTTCAAGTTCTATACCAAATTATCGGTTCCAGTGATCGATGACATTTGTCGATAGCCGTAGTAATGTATAATGAAATCACTTCTTTAGTTATTTCAAGCTGTATAAAATGCTATCGGTTCCAGTGACCGATAACGGTTATCGATAAACATAGTCGAAAATATCTATGAATAGAGTATGCAATTTTGTTTATTCAAATCACCATTATAAACATTTCAATTTACATAACAAGTAATCGCTTTCTGTTATCTATTATCTTTTCCAGATAATCAATGAATATAAATAATGTTTATTAAAATCACCAATTTAATTATATATTGTCATTTATCATGTTATCAATTACAGTCATCGATAACCATAGTTAGCAAATTTTATTAAAATCACCTATTAAATTATTTTAAGTTATATAAAACGTTATCGGTTCCAGTAATCGATAACAGTTATCGAGAATATGTGTTTGCATAGCAACCACTTTGTTATTGGAGTATGTTGTGTGTATTTTATGGCAGCTAGCGCTCCTCTTCAGATTTTGCCAAGCTCGACAGCAAATGCAGAGGGATCCAAGCAATAAGAAGTGTATGGCGTGCAATTTGTTGTAAATTTGCAAGGCATTTAGCATTGATTGGGCGGCTTTGAGGTAGGTAGATGCCAGATACCAGTTGCCAGTGCCAGTTGCCAGTTGCCAGTTGCCAGATAGGTGGCTGGCCAAGTCATAAAGCCAGGGCCAACACTTTTAGTTAACAGCGCATGTGGTTGGGGCATTTGTCAACGGCAGCGACGTGTCGGCAACTTCAACGCCAACGCAAAAGACGTCAACAGCGACACGTTTTAAATGTTGCAACACCGCCCCTCCCCCACCCGGCCACAATTGCAGGCCGCACAATCTGGCGTGGCGCCCACCTTGTGCAGTTTTGTGAAAAACTATAAACAATTTATGCGTTTGGGATGTCTACTACGCTGCCTGCCGCAGCTTTAACTCTGCCCCTCCCTCTCTCTCTCTCTCTCTCTCCCTCTCTCTCTCTCTCTGTGGCAACATGCAGCGCATGCCAAGCGCCTTTGCATTTGCTGTCAATTGCGTTGGGGCAGTGGCAGGGTTTGTCGCAACAGGGCAGAGAGTAAAGAAGCGAGACTTGTAGTCGTATTGCATTACGGTTGCCAAAGGGCATGAGGAAAGAGGTGGGTTAAGGGGGGGCTTAAGGGGGGTGGTAGCAACATTGTGAACTAGTTTTTGATTTGTCTGCAACTGGGCAACTTTGTTGCACATTGTTGCACTTGAACTTATGCCCCACGGTTATATTCGGGGCTAATTATTCGCCAGGCACTCTTGGGCAACTTTGTTTGCGCCGCTCGTATAATTTACAAAATTTGCAAACAGCAACAACAACAACAAGAACAACAAGAACAACAGTAACAACGACCCTCGTCGAAAGTTTAACAAGTGTTAACTTTGCCATTTTCATTCTCATTTTCATTTTCATTTCTTTGGTTCTATTCATTTTGCCAGATAAGCGCGAAAGCGCAACGAGCCAGCGGGAAATACAATAACAAAAGAACTGCCTGAACAAGAGGGGCGAGGTGGGGGGAGGGGGGGTGGTGGTTGAGTAGGGGCTTGCCGCATGGTGGGGCGTGCGATTTGTGGCAGCTGCTGCATCTGTTGATGCTGTGGCTAGCAAC